CTGAATTCAAGCCTCAGAGCCAGCACATAAATACACACGCAAAGCGTAGCTAAACTTTTTATCTTTAAATTTAATAGGTAGTTACCATAATGATATAGTTTCTGAAATATAATTTTTTGTTTGAAAATAAAGGATTTTTAATTTAATTACTTAGATAAAATGTGTGTGTGTGTGTGTGTGTGTGTGTGTGTGTGTGTGTGTGTGTCTGTGTATGATAGCATAGGGGAGATACTCAGAGATCCAGAAATATATCGAACCAAATACAACATGCAGTGACCGCAACTGATTTTTTTTTATTATGTATACAGGTTAAGTATCCCTTATCTAAAATGTTTGGGACCAGAAGTGTTTCAGAATTCAAGTGGTTTTCAGATTTTGGATACTTCTGGATTAGACCCACATCTAAATATGAAATTCTTTTCTCTCCATCACCTCACACATCATTTTATATAATACCACAGGGTGTGACTATCATAAGACTCTCCAAAGCTTTCAACTTTTGGAGCATTTTGAATTTCAGATTTTCTGATGGAGATTGCTTAACCTGAATATGTATTTTTTAAAGGAGAGAAGAAGGAGTCAGTTGCCTCTGCCTGATAGAAAAATACGTATCGAAGTTTCTCTTTGGGACATCCCAGAATTTCTATAATGAGCATAAACCTGGAGGTTAAGTGATCAGTTAAAGTTATATCTCCAAATTCATTTTATCGCCCACCTGATCAAGTGAACTGTTCTAATCTCTTTTTCTGCATAAGCATAAATGAATAGTACAAAGGGGTTTTATTGTGACAGTTCCACATTTTCAGGGGATGTACTTTGATCAAATTTACCCAAAGCTATCATCTGTCCAGACAAGGCAAAGAAATCCCAGGTGAGGGAGAGTAAACATACAGCAATGTGGTGAAGGAGAGGGGGGGCGGGGAGGGAGAGAGGTTTTCTCCTTGGCAGGCTTGTCTCTATGAACAGTAGCTTTCAAATAAAAACCACAATCTTACTGAGTAACACAAAGGGATGGTTCTCTTCACAGGGACTCTGCCTGGGGCCTCTCAGCTTTGCGCTGCCTGCTCAGCCCCACCAAAGCCCCCTGTCAGCAGCAGGTATGTGAGATGTTTTCATGTAAGGAGTGGAACTCTGACAGGCTGCATTCATGGGAGGACTCAACAGATGCAGAAAAGCAGAAACCACAGGTATGTGGCTCCCATCTTGTCCATTTAGGAGTAGGTCACACTTACAAGGAGGTGTCTGTCTTGAATGTGGATTTGTCTAAATCCACTAACTATGGCCACCTTTACCCAGTAGCCAGGACCCTGAGCAATGCATTCAGGCCATGGTGAAAGCTTCAGTCTGGTCCTGATGATCTTGAACTCAGAATCTAGGAAGGCAGGGAAATGTCCCTGCCAACCTCCGAAAGAGCCAAAGTACAGGCCAGGCATTTGGTTAAACGTACCTTCTGGAACTGGACACACAGAGGCTACTTCATGCATCAACCAGCAAATATTCTATAGAGAACCTACTACAGTCCCAGACCCTGTGCAAAACCTATAAACTAGAATGGAGCCCCAAACCTCGTCCCTGGCCTAAAACCTATTCTTCATGAAGGCTATTATCTCAGAGGGCCAAAGACGACTAAAGAAAAACTGCTTAATTGACAAGGCCCACTTCTGCTTAACCGCCAGTCTATGCTGTAATTGATAGCCAAGTACTTGATGGCCAATTACTCAAATTCAGAAATTACTCAAGCTTGGGAGTTAGAAGAACAGGAGACAATGGACCCCAGGTTAGAATCAGGAAGGACAGCCAACCCCAGCCAGCTGTCTTCTTTATTTCTTCCCTCCCTCCTCACACCCTCTGGACACCGCAGGCCTGCAGCTCATTTCTTCTGCAATATTACTTTTCTGATTCACACATAGGTGTTTAGAATTCCTGCCAAAGGACTTCAAATTTTTAGCAACATAATCTGGGCCATGCTGTGGTCCTTTCTGCCTCTCCCAGGCTGATCTACAGAAACTCAAACGATAGACTCAAGCCAAAAGACCAGCTATCCTTGCTCTGTGATCCTCCCCAGATGCAAATATGGTAGAACTTTTAAATTCAAAGCACTAGAAAGAAAAAAAAAATTTAACATCAACCATAATCAACAGTAGAGTTCAGCAAATTAAACCTTCTCCCCCAAAAGAACAAGTGTTTAATATAGATTTCAAAGCATATTTTTAGCTCCACGTAATAATAATTCATTGACGTAGTTCTTATGGTTACATATATATAACCTCTCAATTGAACTCTATTAAAGTAATATTTGATATGATCTGGGTGGAAAAAAATCTCAGAAAAGCAGACTTATAAAGATGTGAATTTCAAACCGATACCATTTTTTTGGTAGGAAAAAGAAGCAAAGGGCTGGGCAAAATTAAGCTTATGGCCAGAAAAGCTTAGAAAAGTCATGCCTCTGGCCAGGCTCCAGAGACTCTCATCTCTCATGCTAGCTACTCAGGAGGCAGAGATCTGAAGATTGCAGTCTGAGGCCAATCCAGGCAGACAAATCCTAGAGACTTTCTAACCAGCAAAATGCTGGAAATGAAGGTGTGGCTCAAATAGAAGAGTGCCAGCCTTGAGCAATAAAGCAAGAGGCTATGAGTTCAAGCCCCAGTGCTAGCATGAAAGAAAGAAAAGAAAAGAAAAGAAGGAAGGAGAGAGAGAAAGGGAGGGAGAGAAAAAGGGAAAGGGAAAGAGAGAGAGGAGGAGAGGGAGAGGGAAAAGGAAAAGGAAAGGGGAAAGAGAAAGGGGAAGAGGAAGGGAAAGCAAGAGGGAGAGCAGGACCTATGACAGTTCAAACTTTCTTCCTAACATCTTTGACTACACAGTTATTTTCTAATCTCCCCCACAGGATCCATGAAATGGAATTTCACTGAACAATTCACAGGTATATTCCTCCTGAAGTACATTCCTGCTGGAAGCTGCTACTAAACCCTCTTCCAGGTATTTCTTCAGAGAATTACCTGGCACGCACCATCCCAGCCCAAGTGGAATAGGCCTGAACACATCTCCAAGTCAAAAGCAAAGCATCAGGGCCTTTGTTTAACACTGCTGGGCCCCATTATATTTCCACACCAGCCTGTCCTCTCTCAGGAGCATCTAACCCTGGCGGTCTTTTGGGTGGCCCTCGGAACTTGGCATTGAAATGCCTGTCTGTCTAGTCCTGCCTGTTGCCACCACCGCCTAAGCTGCGGGAAGGCCAGCGAGGTCCATTTTTAAATTCCCTTGGAAGTTTCACAACCACAGGTTTGAGTGAAGAGACAAACACCGCTCTGGCTACTAACATTAAACTAAAAATACCCAGCTGCAAACAAAAGCCATCTTTTACAGGGCTGGCTCAGATGTCCTAAGGTTCCATGTGGTAATGTCAGACCATATTCTTGGCAGCCTGGCGACCTTAACAACTGCTCCAAGGCCCAACAGGGCAGAGGGGCCAGTGGGTCCCAGTGGGGCCAGTGGGTCCAAAGAATCACACAGCCGGCTGCGGGGTCTGTTGGATGCGAAGAGCAGCTTGATTGCTCTGCCATCCACCAAGACACAGGGGTTTGATGAATCAGGGGTCTGTGTCTGCTGGAAGTGTTAGGTATACGCTGAAAGGAGTAAGGGGCGACACGCACAAAAAAGGGACCGACCCTATTTCCCTGCAAAGAAATGCGTTCCTGCCTCTCTGCTTACCATCAGAAAAGCCAATTCTTTCAGGGAGGCCGCTGAGGGGGGAGGGGGGGCTGGGGGACTCGGAGGCGGAAAAAAGAAATGGATCTCGGAGCCACCGGGGCCCAGCGAGGAGAAACGAGGATCGAGGACCCGCGATCACCCCCGGCAGGCTCAGGATTCTACCTGTTGGGCTTCGGAGCCGAGCCGAGCGGCCCGGCTGCAGCGCTCGAGGGCGCCGCTCTCTCCCCACTCCAGTCCCAAACTTTCCAAGGCGCCCCCTTTCCAAAGTGGGGAGGCCCGGCCTTCGGCTGAGTCCGTGCGCATCTGCCTCAACCACGGGAGATCGGAGCAGAGGTTGAGTCCCGCCTGGCCAGGGCGCAGGGAAGCAAAGCAATGGTATGACCCGAGTCCCCCCCCCCCCGACCTCCCCAGCACGCCGCGCCCCCCAAAAAGAACTCAGGTAGCCTACACATGACCTGAGCTCGCTGATCAGGGTGTGGAGAGGGGAGAGGGGAGATGATCCTGGGAAGAGGGCTGACCAAACCCCAACACCCTCCCACACACACACACACTTCTCCCCAAGGCACCGGGTGCAAGGTCGCTGAGGGGGCTGGACCCCAGGCTGTGCTGGGGGAAAGGGTGGGGGCGTCTGACGGAACCCCGTCGGCTTCTCCCTGCCCCACACCTACTCTGCACCTCCCACCCAGCCCGGAACACGTGGAAGCTCGGCCTCGGGTGTTCCAATCCCATGCAGGGGATTCGAAACCCTGGCCGAGCGAGCACCCTTCAAGCCCGGGTCTCCAGCCCAAGAAGAGGCGGCGGCGCAGCTGCCGCGCACGCCCCGGGGCGCAGGGCAGCGGCTCCGGGCGCCTCTTCCAACCTCAAGAGCTGGGCAGGAGCAGAGACGGGAGTTTTCATTCTCTTCCAACCAACCCCCCCACCCCGCCCCAACCTGGCATCTCCCCCCAGCCTCTACCTGCTTCCTAGCAAACACACACACACACACACACACACATACACACACACAAAGAGAACAAGACAAGGAAGGGAGGTTGGGGCGGGGGAGGGGGGACACTGCCGTCCTCCCCAGTCCCATCTGCAGCCCGGAGGAAGAAGAAGAAGAGGACGAGGAAGGCCGGCGCACACCTTTCCTCCTCTCCATCCCGATGACCGGGTGGATGGCGGTAGCCAGCCCCGGGAGCCCGGGAGAAGAGGTAAGGCTGGAAAGAGGCAGAAACCCAGGCAGAGCGAGTGAGCCAGAGGGCGAGGAGAGAAGAAAATATCCAACAAAACCACGCTAACGCGCCCCCTACCTGGGTGCAACATACTTTGGAAATAGAAGATGACCAAGATAAAGGATCCCAAGCAAGTGGCCAACACCATCCGGCACATTCTGTTCATCCTCATCACTTCCAGCAGCGCCGGCTTCATGGCTTTGTCCTGGCTGGCGGAGGTGGATCGATCGCGGGGTGGGGGGTGGGGGGTCCGGAGACGCGCCCCGGGCGCAGGAGCAGGGACCCCGGCACGCGGATCCCAGCCGGGGAGGCGCAGGGCAGGGCCGGGCGAAGGGCTCGGGAGGGCGGATCGCTTAGATTTTTGCAGCGGCTCTCCGGAGTCCCCAGCCCGGGAGCCGGGGAGGGGGTGTGGAAGACACCGGACTTGCTCTGGAAGTACCCGGGGGAAGGTGGCCGGCCGGGGCGCGCTCCCGGCCGGTCGTCTCGCCGCTCCCTCCGGCGGCGGCGGCCGTTGCCTCCTCGCGGGCCGGGCGACTCGAGTGCGAGCGGTGATGGTGGCGGGCCGTCGCTGCCGTGCGCTGTGGCGGCGGTGGCAGTCGGACGGGGTCCCCCCTCCCTGCTCCAAAGGCTACTTCATTGCGCTCCAATGATCTATATATTCCGGGGGCTGGGCTTTACCAAATGCAACTCGCAGCCCCTGGCGAGGGGAGGGCGCCTGCGGACCGGGGAGGAGGGCGGGGCGCCGCCGGGGGGCGGAGCGTCGCCACCCCCCGCCCCTACCGGGGACATGGTCGCGTCCAGCTGTTTCCCGGGGAGTCCGGAGCGCGCGCGTGGCGCTCCCGCAGGGTCCCAAAAGCCCTCAGCCGGGCTCGCACGCCGTCTAGAGGTCGTGTCAGCGTCTCCAGGACAAAAAAAAAAAAATAACCCCAGAGGGGGAGACAAAAATAGGAATAAAACCCGCCTCAGATTGGAGAGGGGAATGGCCAGGATGGGTGTCCAAGGGGAGCAGGAGGAGGGCGTGGAAATGGAGGGAGGGTAAAGGGGGACTATCTAAAATCCCTGGGGCCAGGTAGCAAAGAAAGTTGCCCCCCCCCCAGCTTCCCGGAAGCCTGTGCCCTTTTTACCCCGCATCCATCAAAAAGGTAGGTCTCAGATCCAGGAGTTAGATAGGGATGACTGAGAGGTCAAGGTTAGGGAAAATGCACTGGGCTGGGGGGGGGGGGGGGGGGGGAGCGGGCCGAGGGGGTCCCGGGGACAGCTGAGCTTTCCCAGGGGAGAAGAAGAGTATGTAGGTCTGTGATGCACATCTTCACTTCCACCTCTCAAAGTGCCAAAGGGGTTTTGTGGATTTTTAAAAATTGTAGTTTCCTCCCACCACCACCACCACCACCACCACCACCCCGCAAGGATAGAGCTTCCTCCAAATTATCCAAAGTGCACAAGAGTTGTAACAGGGATTGACAGACAGACTGACACAGGGAAAGTCTGCCTGCCCGCCCTCTTCTAGGAGGATGAGCTGAACTCCTGTGTTGTACAAGGAAGGGGATTTCAAATTTCCAGCCCCATGTATTTCAGTAGTTTGGGAATCCATAAAGTAAACTCTGTATAGTATAATGATGACTTGTATGTCGGGGAGAGCGGGGAGATGTTATTGTAAAGACTAATTTGTGTGCCTTAGTATCAAGCCATCATTACACTACTATTAACTCAATAATAAAATAAGGCAGTGTGCCTTTAGATGCCTCTTGCAACGTTTGATAAATTTGTATTGAATCTGGGTGTAATGGGCCTTATCCTCCCCTTGATTTGACAACAGAAACAACTTGTCAAGTTTGATCCCTGCAGCAAAACCCCTCTGCAACCTTGGATCTCTTCCTCTAGGAGATAGTAGCATGGAGGGGAGAATAACTAGTCAGCAGCTTGTCTTTGATTCCAGAAGACAATCAATTACATAGCACAATATTTTTGCGTCGGGTTGTGCTGGATTCATTTGTCCTCACCTGTGAATGCACAGCTCCTCAGAAAAGCATGCCAAGCAGAATCGGCTCCAGTAAAAGCCACTGTCCAGGGATTTCCCTTTAGGAGATTGGGGTGGGAACTGTACCATCTCTCTCACCCAAGGCAAGGGGTCTTTGCAGGGACAGGCCTAGGAAAGTGTTTGCAGGATGCCTTTGCCTGGAAGACCAGGCTTTGATTTAACTCTTGGTTTTACTAAGTAGCAAAGGGAAGGGATTCACACACATGTCACCCACTAGCCTCTCACCTCCCAGGGCAGAAAACCAAACAGCCAGATATACAAAAGCCTGAAATCTCCTAATACAGTATAGGAGGTCACAGGGCCAAAGGAGAGTTCAGAATTCTAATTCCTTGTGGGCTATGGGGGGTTGGGTTGGTTGGGCTACATGCACTGCATCTATTTTTACATTCCCACAATCTGGGATCAGTCCACAAACAGAGGGAAGTGAAAATCTGATCATGGGCAATCCACTACCTCTTCCAAGATGTCTTCTCTAATTTCTCACCTGAAGTGGCCTTCTTCCTTATGCATGTTATGAGCACTACATACAAACCCCTCTTGGGCCACTGTATTTAGGTTGAACTCCTTCCTGGAGGACCAAGTCCCCCTCATCTCCATCTCATGCCAGCATACTGATGGCAGGAAAAGCCACAGATGGACAGGTGATATCCTCTAGGACCAGGAAGTTAAGTTAGATTATACTGGGGTAAAAAAAAAGATTCCATTTCTTGCCTCCCTTATAAATTGACCAAAGACAAGTAACATCATCATGGTCTTTCCTTTCTGAGCCTTACAAAACCTTGCCACTGTCTATTTGGCAAGATAAATGACACACCGAGAAGACTGAGAAGGAAGGAGATGACTATATTTTCAATGCTGAAAAGAACTGAAGAGAAGACTACTTCTAAAGTCAGGTTTTTGCTTTTCTAATGTAGTAGTCAGGGCTGGCAACGTTATGCAGATTCCTTTTCCCTTATCACACATCTACTGTGGGTGGCCAGATGGGTTGCACAGGAAGTTTTGTGCATGGTAGCAGTCCTGGGGCTTGAACGTAGGGCCTTGTGTTCTCACTGGGTTTTTTTCACTCAAGTCTGGTATTCTACCTCTTTGAGCCACACCTCCATTCTGAATATGGGATAATTTTTATGAGTCAGACAAAGCTGTCACCACTGCCCCTCCATTACTCCTTGAACCCCATTTCTCTCTCTTTTGTTTCTAAATTCCTTATGCCTCAAAAGCATCAGTAAGATGGCACTGTGCTCACCAAGGAGCCTAGCTTGCTCTTCTTACTCTCTACATCCCACAGCATACAAATGAGGCTAGAGTTTGCCAAGTTTCAAGGCCAGCGTGCTCCTGAAATTTTTGTTGAGGAGAAAGTCCTACTAAGGTGAATAATTTTGTAAGGTTTATATGAGATGAGAATATCGATGCAAAAAACAATTCCAGCTTGTGTGTCATCAACACTGAACCTGGCCCTCCAAGCCCTGCAGACCCAGCTCTACAAAATTCCTGTGGATGCCTATAGCACACTGTCCTGTTAAGGTCTTGCAGAACTGTCAGTAACACCCTTTTCTGTGATTTACTGGGCAGGGGATGCATGGCAGACAGAGAGCTCTTTAGCATCCTTGGGGAAGGGGTGTGTCTTCTGCCAACATCAGCCAGGGGCCTGGCTGGCTCCTCTGATGATGACTCTGCCCATTTGCATCTGTCTAGCATTGCTAGCACAAAGTACACTCAGTTAGCCAGAGCACAGTCAATATTTGTAGAGTTGAATTAAAAACCATTTGCCTACAGCATGCAGGAATCTTAGGTACAAATTTACTACAGGTAGGTAAACCGCAACTACACAAGTGATTCACTCATGACTAGGTTCTGAGAGCAGCCTTTCCTTTCAGGGCTTGCAAATAGAGAAGGAAGAAGAGAAGAGAGAAAAGGTCATAAGCAGTGAGAAAGAAAGGGGAAAGGAGAGGAAGAACAAAGAAGGAGGAGAAAATTAAACAGATGGAGCAGGGTGCTGGTGGCTCATGCCTGAAATCCTAGCTTCTCAGGAGTCTGAGAGCTGAAGATCCACATTACAAGACAGCCTAAGCAGGAAAGTCCATGAGATCTTATCTCCATAAACTACCAAAAAGTTGGAAGTGGAACTGTGGCTCAAGTAGTAGAGCAACAGCCTTAAGGACAGTACATTGGCCCCTGAGTTCAAGCCCCAGTACTGATACCAAAAAGGAGAAGAAGAAATTAAAAAAAAGGAGGAGGAGGAAGAAGAAAAAGAAGGAGAAGGAAGAGAAGACAGTAATGGAGAGAGGAAAGGATATATCCATGATGATTCTGCTGCTGATGCTTTCAGAAGAAGGCATAAATTCAAGTCCAAACTAACCCTCTCTAGGTCTCAATTTCTTCGCTGCTCTGGGTGACATAAGGCTGTTTCATATGAATATAGTACAGTTTCATACGAATATGAAAATCATTTCTGGAAGGAGAAGGAGAAGTAAATTTCCTTCCTGTTGTCACTTGCAGATTTCCCCAAGCAGCTCCCAACTAGAGCAAAAACATCCTTCATCAGGTGTAGATAGGGAAAGCCCAGCTTTGCTAAGAGATGGAGGAATTCTCTGTAAAAAGCTGGGAAATGGGGTAGGTGTGGTTACTGACAACCATGTACAAGTTGGGAGTTTTATTACTACAGGAGAAGGATGGACCAGAAATGGGTAGGAAAGGGTGCCCTGCAATTTCTGCCACATGTAGCTTAGGAAGCATTGGTTACTGGGTCTCTACGGTCACTATGTGGGTATAGGGGGATAGGTGGGTACTGGGGCTTGAACTCAGGACCTGGGTGCTGACCATTAGCTTTTTACTCAAGGCTGGCACTCTACCACTTGAGCTACAGCTCCACTTGTAGCTTTTTGTTGGTTAATAGAGATGAGTCTCATGGACTTTCCTACTGAGTTGGCTTTGAACCTTGATCCTCAGATCTCAGCCACCTGAGTATCTAGGATCATAGGTATGAGCCATTGGTACCTGGCCACTGGCCTTTTCTGATGCTTTTTCTTTCAGCCCCAGCTTGTTCCTGCCTGGGGACTTTTCTGCTCCCCAGGGATGTGCTGTTCAAATATGACTTCATTATTCCAGTCTCCTGTGTCAGCAGGTCTCTGAGGACCTCCGACCACCCCCTTCCTCCACCCTAGAACCTTATTTTGCTGCCTTCAACACCCTTAACCCTCTGTAACCAACATATTCTTGTTTTTCTGGGTACCTTCCCTCTCTGCTTTGGGGCAGGAGCCTCCACTCTCTTGCTTACAGCTAATTCTGCACATGGCAGAAAGATGTTCAATAAATACTTGGTTTTTTCCCCAAATACATCCTAAAGTTTCTTCAGATTTTTTTAATTTTTTGTTTATATGGTACTAAGGAATCAAACCAGGGCCTCATGCATGCTAGACAAGCACTCTGTCACTAAGCCACCTTCCCAGCCCATCAGTAAACATTTGTAAAAGAAATGAGCAAATGAACTTATCGATGCAGTTTATCAGCAGCCAATTTGAATTTGAATTTATCGGTTCATTTTATTATCAATATTTCCAGAGCTGCTACTGCCTTTGGACAGTTGTTTCTTTGCTGCTGAGATAAGGAAATAATTCATTT